GCCCCCACTGAATGCAGTTCAGACGAGGTTAAGGATGAGTTTTACAGAAAGCTCTCGGACCTCCTCCAAAAAGCTAGGCGCTCTGATATAGTAATAATGGCTGGTGACTTTAATGCTCAAGTAGGTAGACTAAGTGAGCAGGAGAGACACCTAGGTGGATGTTATGGTGTCGCGGCTCAGAGAACAGACAATGGTGACCGTCTGTTGCAAGCATGCTCAGACAACCGCCTATTCTTAGCAAACACCAACTTTAGGCATAAGGAAAAGCATCTGTTGACCTGGCGACCTCCAAAGTCGTCTCAACGTTGGACTCAACTAGATCACATCGCCATCAGCCACCGATGGAGGGGTTCGATAGAGGACTGTCGCTCGTTCTGGAGCACATGTTTAGATTCAGATCATGCTCTAGTGCGAGCGCGTATCTGTTTGAGGCTTACTGGACGTAGGAAAGACACCGTAAGGAAGCCTCTTAGGGTTTTACTTAATGATAATAAGGCGAAAAATATATTTCAGGAACAGCTAGAAAAACAGTTCGGCGACCATGTAAGTGGTCTCCATCCGGAAGGTAACTTGGAATGATATCATAAAGGCTGTGGAAACAGCAGTGATATCTGCTAGTAAGGTTGACCATAAGGCTAGAATGAAACCGTGGATCTCAGTAGCATCCACCGATCTGATGGATGCCCGAAAACCCATCCCACCTGGCTCTGAACATGATGAAGAACGAAGTCAACTTAGGCGCAGACTTATAAAAAGCCTACGTAACGATCGCGAACAGTGGTAGGTGGCGAAAGCAAAAGCGATGGAAAAGGCAGCGGCGATCGGCATCTAAAATTTTGGCCCCAGTAATATTTCGACGCTTAACGAAACCTCGTGAAGAGCAGACTCGAGAAAACCAGGCCTGTTTTCGACCTGGACGTGGCTGTATAGACCACGTCTTCACACTCAGACAGGTCCTGGAACATAGACACACATTTAGGCGTCCTACAATAGGTGTCTTGCTGGACCTAAAGGCGGCATTTGGCTCAGTGTATCGTGAGGTTCTGTGGCAGTGTCTGTCATTGAAAGGTGTACCAAAGAAGTACATTAACCTTATACAAGCTCTCTACTCAAACACCACTGGTCGGGTGAGAGCTTATGGCGAACTGTCATCGGAATTCTCTACTTCAAGTGGTGTCCGTCAGGGATGTCCACTCTCTCCATTCTTGTTTAAATTTGTCATAGACATTCTCTTAGAGTTATCATTAAGCTCGTCAGATTTTTCAGGGGTTGACCTTCTACCAGGAAAGTCGCCTACTGACCTGGAATATGCCGATGACATTGTCCTACTTGGTGAAGACGCTGACAAAATGCATAGTCTTCTGACCACCCTAAGCAACAATGCAAGCATGTTCGGGATGCGGTTTTCCCCCTCCAAATGCAAAATCTTGCTTCAGGATTGGGTTGCATTGGCACCTGAACTAGTGATAGGGAGTGAAGTAGTCGAGCGTGTAGACGGCTTCACTTATCTTGGGAGTCTCATCAGTGCCGATGGCCTGGTGACTGACGAAATCTCAGCTCGGATACAGAAGGCTCGATTGGCTTTTGCCAACCTGCGTCACTTATGGCGTAGGTGAGATATCCGTTTGCTGACTAAAGGACGAGTGTACTGCGCAGTGGTTCGCTCCGTCTTACTTTATGGCTGTGAAACATGGCCAGTGAGAGTAGAAGATACTCGTCGGTTACTGGTTTTCGATCATAGGTGTCTTCGAAGCATTGCTCGTATATCGTGGGACACCCGAGTGAGCAACGCTGTTATTAGGAATCGGGTGCTAGGTAAGAATGGCAGATCAATCGATGAAGTGGTGAAACTTCATCAGTTGAGGTGGTTGGGACACGTGTTGCGTATGCCTAACCACCGACTGCCTCGCCGAGCTAGAGACCCTGAATGATATCGCTCAAGTTCCTTTGCAATGGCGCCAGTGCATTTATTCTTTGTGTTCTCTCAAATCCTAATCTTCTGGGTTATTCAACAACTCTAGTTTTTACTTTCTAAACTTATCTCATTGAATCATACTTCGTGAATAATATCTTCTAATTCTAACCTCTCCGATTACTTCTAATACCTTTACTACCTCTTCTACTATTGGATTTGAATTGACAATAATATCTCTGTGCTGATGTGGTATGGCGACATGAACTGATGTACTTACGTACGAAGTTCTACGTTGCAACTAACTGACTGACTGACTGAGATAAATCAAGCATATTTTACATCTCTAAAAACGTTACTCGCTCTTTCAATTGTCGTGTTTGCTAATACGGGCCTTTTTGATAGTAATGTTCTTGTGCACACATTTTCTCCAGTAGAGTCGTTATAAATAATAGTGCTCTCTCAGCCGAGTTGACTACATACGCCTCAGCAGACAGCTTTAAGAAGAGACTCAATAAACACACACGTATGAATTATTGTCCATAGACTTACTTGCAGTTATTATTGCTATCTCATCTGATCACTTACTCAGTCTATCTGGCTTATTATCTCTGTTTCTTTTCCCTTGTCTAGGCTTTGGTCCTCTCTCACAATCATCACTACCAATTAATAAATTGAATTGTCGATTAATTTACAAAGTTCTGAAATCTTATTAGCATCAGAACTTTCTCCTTATTATTCTTCACACTGAAACTAACTAAACTCCGGTTTGGTGATGTGATAGCTTCTGGTATCCAGAAACCCTATTGTTTTGGAACAAACGTGTGCAATCAGATCACGAGACATACAAACATACGAAGAAATGTCAGCTGACTAGAATTATTGCAGTCTAGTTGCTAGACTTCATCCATTGGACAATACCGACCACCTAGGACTGTGCTGAAAGTATTGAATGTATATTGGATATTGAATGCTCGCAAGCTTTTATTGCGACATTTAAATGCTGTGTTACGAATCTTTTCTTACCACCATTTGCATTGATCTCATATTTGTGTTATTTCCCACTATTGTCAGTTGGTTTCGTTGGTAATCGTAGGTTTCTTTTTTGATGTTTTGTTTATTCTCAGGCAGTTTTTGTTCTTTCCAACGTACCTCGCACGTTTCGCTCTTCTCCAATACTGAAGCTAGATAGAAACTCATCAAAGGTTATATTCTACTGCTGTAATCCGAATTTCAGTTATTGTCGGCTCATTTCGCCCGTGCTAATGAATTCAGGATTTTATTTTGTTAGGTGTCTTTGATTTAGTCGCTAACCTGCAATTTCCTGCTTATGTGTCTCAGTTGACAGTCAATGAGGAATTTTTTTACTACGTCGTGACAATTTCATCCAATCATTCTGGTTTATAAATCGGTTAGAGGTGTCAACTTTTATTACAAACCCGCCCTTGTTTTTCCTTTTTTCATTCTTCACGTATATCAACATTCGTTTCGTAATTATCGTGCGATAATATATTGGTGTATTTTTCTTGGTTGTCGTCAAGTTTTATTTGTTTCATTGGGTATTCACGCCACAAATCAATTTCCCGATCACTTGGATTGTGTTAGACAGTCCTCATTTATCATTGTAACATCCTGTCCTAGAGCATAACTAGCCCTCTTAGACTGGATACCGATAGACAGTCGCTTATGCTCTGTCAGACTAAACCGTACAAAACGGACCCGCCTCTTAAGATAGGGGAACTCGCCGTTGCCTGTTTGTTGTCTGCAGTTCAGACGAGGTAAACGACTAGTTTTACGAAATGCCCTTGAACCTCCCTCAAAACGTTAGGCGCTCTGATATAGTGATAATGGCTGGTGACTTCAGTGCTCAGTTAGGTGGACTAAATTAAGAGGATAGACGCCTACTTGAATCTTATGGTTTTTTGGCTTGAAGACCAGATAATAACAACCGTTTACTACAGCTTAGCTCAGATAATCGCTGATTTCTAACAAATACTAACTTTAAGCACAAGGAAAAATATTTCTTAACACGGCGACCCCCCAAAGCCAATTCAACGATGGACCAAACTAGACCACATTGCTACCGGCCAACGGAAGAGAGGCTCCACTGAAAACTGCCGCTCATTCTCGAGCACTTTTGACATTCACATCATGTTCTGGTGCGAGCGCGTAGTAGTCTGCGTCTTACTGGACGTAGGAAAGACAATGCAAGGAAACCTCTCATGGTTCTACTTAATGATAGATAGCAAAGCAAAGAATATATTTCAGGAACATCTGGAAAAACTGTTATGCAACGATGTAAGTGATGCCCACCCTGAGGTAGCTAGAAGCGGTGGATCTCAGTAGCATCAACCGAACTGAGAGACGATCGGAAGCTCATCCCATCTGGTTGTGAACATGACGAAGAGCGAAGTCGGCTTAAGCGTAGGCTGATAAAAAGCCTACACAATGATCGTGAACAGTGTTGGGTAGCGAGATCAAGAGTGATGGAGAAGATATCGATGATAGATAACAGTTGACAACTGTTCCATCTTATCACGGAACCTGATACTAGGAATACAGCTGTCAGCGAAACTATCTCAAAAATGAATGGTCTTATTATTATTATTTTTTGTCGAGACTGATGATCCTAGTGTAATATGCTCTCAGGGTGTTTGAAAAACCTTTTGCCATACCTTTAATTAATGAGTTCTATTACTTTAGTACCTGAAAACCCTTAATTTATGGAAGAGCCCTCCATTATAATTCGCACCGAAGTGGCTAGTTTATAGGTGTTAGTGGTAACTGCTCTGTCAAATTGTAGACCTATCGTAGTCTACAAAAAATGTTATCTTAAATTTCTTTGATTATATTCACATTTTGAACCCAGTGCAAAGCTAACGAATTGATTTATACTATTAATGACTGTTAGAAACTTGTGTGGCCCACTATAATTGGCTGTATTAAATAAAATCGCCACACTGCAATGTCACACTTGATAAATTCCCACGCATTCCTGGACCACTCTTTTCCTCAAGACAATTACATTGATTCGGAATCTAGCCGCGAGAGATTAGCCCATCAGAATGTAGAATGTGCATTTTATAAGGCTACAATTGCTCGTGAATGTATTGGAGGTCACTTAAACTGCACCGACTTGTTTTACGAAAACATTTTGCCAAGTGAATGTGGTGTTACCAAATTCGGAGAAATGAAGGTTAGTTTAGTGTTTTATTGTCATATTCTTTAGACTGAGGCTATAATCGTGCGTGCGGTTGAAAAAGTTAGGGATAGTGTTTTTAGTAAAGTTGGTTCGCGACTTTCCTTCAATCGATCTCTTCTCAAACCGGGAGCCATTATATGTGAGTCACAAGCGGTTGATACTGTTTTGGATGCCTCCCTTTCAGTCGTCTCTCGTAAGACGCTGGCCGATTGGTTTGGTTCAACTGAAATTAATATTAGTCCTTCGTCGCACACCGAGAGCTTGAATCATGATAAATGTGCGGATATAAATAGGAGAACAAAAGAGCTACTGGAAAAAAGAATTCGAAATTCCAAACCTCGACAGTCGTATATTTTCCAGGTACGTTTTTGTGTATAAGTGTTTTAAAGTATCCAGTGTTACATGTTCACATAACATTGTTGTGTAAAATTTTAATGGCGATTGAATTTTATAAAATATGTCGTGTAAGTGATTCATGACATTTTGTTCGCTTCGAGCCTGATGTATAGACTCGCATGTCAAATACAACTAATATGTCACTCATGTTATCATGGTTGTAGTTAGTTGTCTGGGCATTAATTTACATTCCGTTTTTGATGTCTGTCAGTCAACTACAACGTAGAACTCCGTACGTACGTACATTTGATCAGGTTGCCATACCACATTAGCATAGAGACGCAACTTTCAGTTCAGATCCCATAGTGGTAGAGATAGTAGAAGTATTATCGGCAATGGAAAAGATTAGGGTTTGAAGATATTATTCAAGAAATATGACTTAATGAAATAAACGTTTTAAAAAGAAAGATAAATGTGATGAGGAAATCAGAAGATTAGAATTTCAGAGGACTCAAAGGATGAATGCGCCTGCGCCATTCCAAACGACCTAAAGCCATGTCATTCGAGGTCTCTAACCATCGGTTATTATAATCTCGCAAGCCCCAACCACGTAGTCGACAACTACCGACATGACTTAGTCCACTTGTCAGTGACTACATGGATTCGTGCCATGTTTTGGTTTGGTCACCCCTAGCTTTCTTCCAACCTACCCCTAAACTACGAAACGTAGATCGTCAAGGCAGTCGATGGTTATTCATTCGTAACACATGTCTCAACCACCTCAACTGATGAAGTTTCACTACTTCATCTATTGATCTGACATCCTTACCTAGTACCCGTTTCCTATCAACATCATTGATTACTCGGTGGTCGTAGGATTTCCGAGCAATGCTACGAATATCCTCTACTCTTAACGGCCATGTTTCACAGCCATATAGTAGGACGGAGCGAACTGCTGTGCAATAGACTCGTCGTTTGGTTAGCAGACGGATAGATCACCTACGCGATAAGTAACTGAAGTTGTCAAAAGCCAGTGAAGCCTTATGTGTGTGCGCTGAGATTTCGTCAGACAGCAGGCTATCAGCACTGATGAGACCCCCAAGATAAGTGAATCGGTCAACAAGCGTGTCTCTTTGTAGAAGATCCTTACCTGAAAAGTCGGACGAGGGTAACTTTAACGCTAGAAGCATGTCTATTACATAGTGAAGCACGAATGAATGGAGTGTACAGCCCTGACGGACATCACTTGAATTAACGAATTCCGATGACAGTTCGCCATAAGCTGTTACTCGACGAGAAGAGACCCTTTTTAGGTTTATGTACTTCTTTGGTACACCTTTTAGTGATCGACACTGCCACAGAACCTCACGATCGATAAAGTTTGGTTTATACTCAGATCTAAAACCAGTCTAGTTTTCTCGAATATGCTCTTCACGAGCTCTGGTTAGTCGTTCAATTATTATTGAGGCCAATAGTTTAGATATTATATTGCCTAAAGTGATTCCTCTGTGATTGCCACAAGAGGACTTCTGTCCTTTTTGTAGACTAGGACAATCAGTGATTAAGACCAGTCAGATGGGATTACACCCAGTCCCCAGATTCTACCTACGATCTCAGTCAACCTAACTGCTAAAACTGGACCACCATCCTTAAAAATGTTAGTGATAGGCCTGTCAGGCTCTACTGCTCTCCCTTGATTCAATCAATCTGACAATCAGAGCCCTTTCACGGTGTGGGCAGCCGGGAGCTTACATCCACCGTCATACCCATAAAAGCACACAGGACCGAATCGGTCACAATCAAACACTTTCTACCCCTCTTAATAACTCTCTTATCTCCTCGGCCAACTCTTACTTCGATCGTTTGTCACCTCGCGTCACTGAAGAAAACAGTTTGAGCTCACGAAACATTATTCCTGGTCTCCTGAAACCCCGTAATGAATTACACACTGGGGTTTTTAATGTACGAACCCTATGCCAAATAGGGGAACAGGCTTCATTTGATAGAACTCTGAAATCCCTAGCGATCGATGTATGTTGCGTCTCCGAAACGCGCATACAAGACCCGAGTAAAATCATCAATTTGATTTCACCTAGTGCAGGGTTTACACTCCATGTTTCAGGTAGCCCTGATTTTGCTTCCCGTGGTCTCGCTGGCGTAGGTATAGTATTAAGTCATCAGGCAGAACTAGCTCTCCTAGACTGGACCCCGATAGACAGTCGCTTGTGCGCTGTGCGACTGAACGGGACAGTAAGGACTCGTAAAGATAGGGAAACTCGCCGTTGCCTCTTCGTCATATCTGCCTATGCCCCCACCGACCGCAGTTCAGACGATGTGAAAGATGAGTTCTACAGAAAGCTTTTGGATTTCCTCCAAAACGTTAGGCGCTCTGATATAGTAATAATGGCTGGTCAGTCAGTCAGTCAGATGCAACGTAGAACTTTGTACATAAGTACATCAGTTCATGTTGCCATACCACATCAGCACAGAGAAGTAATCGTCAATTCAAATCCAATAGTAGAAAAGGTAGTAAAGGTATTAGAAAGTAATCGGAGAGGTTAGGATTAGAAGATAATATTCAGGAAGTATGATTCAGTGAGAAAAGTTTAGAGAGTCAAGACTAGAAGTGTTAAAGAATCCAGAAGATTAGGATTTGAGAGAACACAAAGAATAAATGCACCGGCGCCATTGCGAACGATTTTGAGCCATGTCATTCAAGGTCTCTAACCATCGATTATTATCATCTCGCGGACCCCAACCAGGTAGTCGACAATTACCGACATGGCTCAGTCCACTCGTCAATGACTTCATGGATTTATGCCATGTTTTGGTTTGGCCGCCCCTAACTTTCTTCCAACCTATTCCTACACTACAAAACAAGGCTCGACGAGGCAGTCGGTGGTTCGGCATACGCAACACATGTCCCAACCACCTCAACTGACGAAGTTTCAATACTTCATCGATTGATCTGCCATTCTTACCTAGCACCCGCTTGCTAATAACAGCGTTGCTTACTCGGTTGTCCCACGATATGCGAGCAATTCTTCGAAGACACCTATGATCGAAAACCAGTAACCTACGAATATCTTCTACTCTCACTGGCCATGTTTCACAGCCATAAAGTAAGACGGAGCGAACCACTGCGCAGTACACTCGTCCTTTAGTCAGCAAACGGATATCTCGCCTGCGACATAAGTGACGCAGGTTGGCAAAAGCCAATCGAGCCTTCTGTATCCGAGCTGAGATTTCGTCAGTCACTAGGCCATCGGCACTGATGAGACTCCCAAGATAAGTGAAGCGGTCTACACGCTCGACTACTTCACTCCCTATCACTAGTTCAGGTGCCGATGCAACCCAGTCTTGAAGCAAGATTTTGCATTTGGAGGGGGAAAACCGCATCCCCAACATGCTTGTATTATTGCTTAGGGTGGTCAGAAGACTATGCATTTTGTCAGCGTCTTCACCAAGTAGGACAATGTCATCGGCATATTCTAAGTCAATAAGCGAGCCACTTTGTAGAAGGTCTACTCCTGAAAATTCAGACGAGGATAATGTTATGTCTAGGAGCATGTCTATGATAAAATTAAATAAGAATGGAGAGAGTGGACATCCCTGACGGACACCACTTGATGTAGAGAATTCCGGTGACAGTTTGCCATAAGCTCTCACTCAACCAGTGGTGTTCGAATAAAGAGCTTGTATAAGGTTAATGTAATTATTTGGTACACCTTTCAATGACAAACACTGCCACAGAACCTCACGATCCACAGAGTCAAATGCCGCCTTTAGGTCCAGGAAAACAACTATTGTAGGACGCCTAAATGTGTGTCTATGTTCCAGGACCTGTCTGAGTGTGAAGACGTGGTCTATACAGCCACGTCCAGGTCGAAAACAGGCCTGGTTTTCTCGAGTCTGCTCTTCACGAGGTTTCGTTAAGCGTCGAAGTATTATTGAGGCCAGTATTTTAGATACTATATTAGTTAGACTTATTCCCCTGTGATTGTCACAAGAAGACTTTTGTCCTTTCTTATAGATTGGGACAATCAAGGATTGAGACCAGTTTCTGTAATAAGGCGGAAAAGTTGTCTAGTGTTGCCTATCGCCGCTGCCTTTTCCATCGCTTTTGCTTTCGCCACCCACCACTGTTCGCGGTCGTCACGTAGGCTTTTTATAAGTCTGCGCCTAAGCTGACTACGCTCCTCATCGTGCTCAGAGCCAGGTAGGATGAGTTTTCGAGCATCCATCAGTTCGGTGGATGCGACTGAAATCCATGGCTTCATCCTAGCCTCATGGTTTACCTTTTTAGCAGATATCACTGCTGTTTCCACAGCCTTTTTGATATCATACCAACCTGCTTCTGGATGGGAATCGCTTGCATGGTTGCTTAACTCTCTTTCTAGTTGCTCCTGAAATATATTCTTCGCCTTATTATCATTAAGTAAAACCCTAAGAGGCTTTCTTACGGTGTCTTTCCTACGTCCAGTAAGCCTCAAACAGATACGAGCTCGCACTAGAGCATGATCTGAATCTAAACATGTGCCCCAGAACGAGCGACAGTCCTCTATCGAACCCCTCCATCGGTGGCTGATGACAATGTGATCTAGTTGAGTCCAACGTTGAGACGACTTCGGGGGTCGCCAGGTCAACAGATGCTTTTCCTTATGCCTAAAGTTGGTGTTCGCTAAGAATAGGTGGTTATGTGAGCGTAGTTGCAACAGACGGTCGCCATTGTCTGTTCTCTCAGTCGCTACACCATAACATCCACCTAGATGTCTTTCCTTTTCACCTAGTCTACCTACTTGAGCATTAAAGTCACCAGCCATGATTTCTATATCAGAGCGCTTAGCTTTTTGGAGGAGGTCCGAGAGCTTTCTGTAAAACTCATCCTTAACCTCGTCTGCGCTGCAGTCAGTGGGGCATAGGCAGATATGACGAAGAGGCAACGGCGATTGTCCCTATCTTTCCGAGTCCTTACTGTCCTGTTTAGTCGGACAGCGCACAAACGACTATCTACTGGGATCCAGTCAAGGAGAGATAATTCTGCTCTAGGACTCAATGCTATGCCTACGCCAGCAAGACCCCGGGAAAGCAGCATCAGGGCTACCGGATACACGAAGAGTAAATCGAGCTGCTTCTTCGTTTTGACTAGGTGGAATCAGGTTAATGACTTTACTAGGATCCTGTATGCGCGTTTCCGAGACGCAGCATACATCGATGGCACGAGTTTCTAAAGTCCTAGCTAATGATGCCTGCTGCCCTATTTGACACAATGTCCGTACATTAAAAGCTCCAACATTTAGTCTAGAACGAGGTTTCAAGAGACCAGGAACGACGTTTCGTGATCTCGCTTCGTCTGCATTAGCGGTGCAGTGAGAAAAGGGAGTGTGAGTATAGTTAGTCGTAGAGATAAGAGAGACATTAGGGGGTGTAGGAAGGATTTGATTTTGACCAATTTGGTCTCGCGTGCTGTTATGGGTATGAGGGCGGTTGTCACTTCCCGGCTGCCCACACCGTGGAAGGTTGTTTCTTGAGGAACCTGAAAAGGAAGATAGATTAGTGTTGGTGGGTGACCGCAGAGCCGAAGGGACAACTGCTTGAGGCCGGTCACTCACGGCATTTTTATGAAAGGTTTTTTGAGTATTAGCTCCGCTATTGAAAGCCCTTATTGGGCTTAGTGAGGTAGGATGAGGTGTAACATTTTTATGGTCGACCCTTTCTAACCCTTCCTTCCTTGTGAGAAGGCAGCATCGCTGCAGATGCTAATTGTCCGAGGGAAACACCTTACTGCTGTCACACTCCTCTGCAGTCAGCAGTACGACTTCGCCCTCAGACCTTGGGTAGCTGCTTTTAGTCTCATCGTTCTCCAATCGACCTGCCTGGCATGGTAGGACCTGCAGGAACATATGTTCCAGCCAGTATAGCTCGGTTGGATCATCACGATAGGCAAGCCCGACCACCACGTCAAGGTAGCAGCTTCGGTCGGGAATAATGGCTGGTGACTTTAATGCTCAAGTAGGTAGACTAAGTGGAAAGGAAAGATAGCTAAGTGGATCTGTATCATAAATTGCTTTGAATCTAGTGTCCATCCAATGCAAAATAAAAAAAAAATCGACGAATTTCATCAGTGTTAGTGGCGTTTACCCATTCGAATGCACAAATAAATAGTTTGAAATTTTGATATATTGTTTAAGAATTGTTATTTGGTCTATTGAAATACAAAATCCCAACCGTATGTGCTACCTTGACATTGTGGTCGGGCTAGCCTATCGTGATGACCCAACTGATCTGTACTGACTGGAACACACGTTCTTGTAGGTTCTACTATGCCAGGCAGGTCGATCGGAGAACGGTGAGACTAAAAGCAGTCACTTATGGTTTGAGGGAGAAGTCGTACTGCTGACTGCAGTAAGGTGTTTCCCTCGGACAACCAGCATCTGCAACGATGATGTCTTCTCACAAGGAAGGAAGGGCTAGAAAACGTCAATCCTAAAAATGTCACACCTCACCTTAGCTCACGGATTTCTGTCTCCGGTGGTAAGGCCCTTTGAAGATCGGAGCTAACACGTCAACTTCCTCTAAAAGGGCTGTGCGCGATCGACTTCCTGAAGTTGTCTTTTGGGATCTACGGTCACTCTCTTAGGCCGGGATTCTTCGTAATGACTTACCATCAAATGGTTTATCACATAATTGTAAGTAATTTTCATTTTTCTGATTTCTAGGAGGATACCGCTTGTGAACTCCCACCTTTAACTGAACTTGTAGACAACCCTGCGTTCAAGTGGGAATTCGAACTAGATACCTTTCAAAAACAAGCTATTTTATGTCTTGAGCGTAATCAAACAGTTTTTGTAGCAGCCCATACTTCAGCTGGAAAGACAGTTGTTGCAGAATATGCTTGTGCTCTCTGCCAACGTCGAGGTACAAGAGTCATCTATACTAGTCCGATTAAAGCTTTATCGAATCAAAAGTTTTATGACTTCAGGTATAGAGTTTTCATTGTATCTTATGGCTAATCACGTTCTGTGTTCGTAACTGATAACTTTCTATTTTTCTTTTTTATGTGTGGGGTTTTAAAAGCTTTTGTTTTTCAATAGACATCTTTAAATTAAAAATTAATGTCCAGTATTTTAGCTGTCGTTGAAATGGATATTAGTTAATGAATATATCTGCAAATTAGCCTCAGTGAAGTTGTTTAATACCTAACGAGTGTTAATTAAGCTTGTGTTGAGAGTTTTTTGTCATCGGTTTATTAGAGTTAGTGAAAGCCACTTCAATACCCTATTGTTAAATTAGGTATCTGTAGTGTTTTTATTTTCTTCTTTGAGTAGTCTTGTTAATTAGATTGTTAACTGAAATTAACAGAGCTTAACCGTATCGATCTTATATATCGTTTTCTGAGAACTTTCTACCTAGTGTATCAGATGACTGTCACGAAAATTGGAAGTACTAGATGAAGCTTATTTTTTAATTTTTGTGTTATGTCAACTGTGTACCTAGTATTTTGATCATTTTAAATTTCCAACAATACAGTATTACAGTTAATTTATTCAAAACATAAGTAAATTTTTTAGTAGGGTTAATAAATTAACTCTTAGTACAAGCTAGCAGTGGCATCCAGGATACGCGGTTCGTCCTGTTTGAGGCTTATCAGCTAGATGTACCTGCTCCTGAGACGTATGTATAACACAGCCTGTTGTGCCTTTTCAAAGGAAATAGAGTTTTTAAAAAATAACATCGGTTGTTGAAAAGAAGTAAATAATATAAAAGCTTAAAATACAAAAAGCCTATATATCTACCTCACGCCTTGTTGTGTCTTAGTGTTTGCTAATTGTCATTTTCATGTTCCATTGAAATTAATTCTAGACAGACATTTGGAGATGATGTGGGACTCATTACAGGTGATATCAAGCTGGCTCCTGAATCTACCATTCTAGTAATGACCACAGAAATTCTGCATAACATGTTATGTAATGATGCTGATGTTATTAGAGATCTAGAAATAGTGATTATGGATGAAGTAAGTGTTTTTTTAACAAAGTTGTCTATCAGATATTTTTATGTTAAAATACGCGACTGATTGTTTTAGAGAATGCGAATTATGAGACTTGAAGGATACCTGCTCCGAAAAGGACACATTATGAGAGTACTTGAATCCACTATTGTATGAAATTCCGATTTGACTCAAGGTAATGTTTTTACAGGCGTCTCGACTCAGTCACTCAGTCAGATGCAACGTAGAACTTGGTACGTAAGTACATCAGTTCATGTCGCCATACCACATCGGCACAGAGATATAACTGTCAATTCAAATCCAATAGTAGTAGAGGTATTAAGGGAATTAGAAGTAATCGGAGAGTTTAGGGTTAGAAGATACTATTCAAGAAGTATGATTCAGTGAGATAAGTTTAGGGAGTCGAAACTAGAGGTGTTGAAGAATCCAGAAGATTAGGGTTTGAGAGAACTCATTTTAATATATAACTTATGTTAATAATTCGTTTTAAGAAATGCTCAGGAATCTAAACACCAGTTCGCAGTTTGGTCGAATGTGTCAATGGCATCCACGAGACTGTCACTTGAGAAGAGGGTGTTCCAGTCAGGGGATCTTACCAGGGTATGCAGGAGATCCGAGTCACCATGCTTGTAATCCCCGTTCTGACTAGTTTTCTGTATGGAATGGTTGTACGAGGGATGGACAGCGAGAGCACTAGCTAAAATTCAACTCTTGGAAGTGAGTTCATTCCAGGATAACCTTAATCTAATGTAGTGATCTTCACATCAAATTTTAGAGCGAATGCATATATAAATGCATCGAATAAAAGATCATTCACATTAGCAGAAAGATGAGGCGCTCCTTTGATACATCCAATGAATAGACTTTAATTCGAAAGTGTTGACTTATATCCATACCGATTCAGATAAATTACTCAAGTCTTTGTCGTCACCGTTCTTGATTTTCAGGCAATTTAGGAGAAAAAATGAAACAGTCACCTTCACATTTGGTTTCTCTATCAGATCGGTGAAGCCGGTAGTTCTGAATTAGCTGGAAGGCACCATCTTTCAGTGTTCAGTATGAAGATCGCTTTGGCTCGTAACACTTAGATACTTAAAGCCTGATTCTTCAGTCAGTCAGTCAGTCAGATGCAACAACCGCCCTCATACCCGTAACAGCACGCGAAACCAAATCGGTCAAAATCAAATCCTTCCTACACCCCCTCAGTCAGTCAATCAGTCAGTCAGATGCAACCTAGAACTTTGTACGTAAGTACATTAGTTCATGTTGCCATACCACATCAGCACAGAGATATAATTGTCAATTCAAATCCAATAGTAGAAGAGGTAGTAAAGGTATTAGAAGTAATCGGAGAGGTTAGAATTAGAAGATATTATTCACGAAGTATGATTCAATGAGATAAGTTTAGAAAGTAAAAACTAGAGTTGTTGAAGAATCCAGAAGGTTAGGATTTGAGAGAACACAAAGAATAAATGCACTGGCGCCATTGCAAAGGATTTTGAGCCATGTCATTCAAGGTCTCTAGCCATCGATTATTATCATCTCGCGGACCCCAACCAGGTAGTCGACAATTACCGACATGGCTCAGTCCACTTGTCGATGACTTCATGGATTTATGCCATGTTTTGGTTTGGCCGCCCCTAACTTTCTTCCAACCTACTCCTAAACTACAAAACAAAGCTCGACGAGGCAGTCGGTGGTTCGGCATACGCAGCACATGTCCCAACCGCCTTAGCTGATGAAGTTTCATTACTTCATCTATTGATCTTCCGTTCTTACCTAGCACCCGCTTGCTAATAACAGCGTTGCTCACTCGGGTGTCCCACGATATACGAGCAATGCTTCGAAGACACCTATGATCGAAAACCAGTAACCTACGAATATCTTCTACTCTCACTGGCCATGTTTCACAGCCATAAAGTAAGACGGAGCGAACCACTGCGCAGTACACTCGTCCTTTAGTCAGCAAACGGATATCTCACCTACGCCATAAGTGACGCAGGTTGGCAAAAGCCAATCGAGCCTTCTGTATCCGAGCTGAGATTTTGTCAGTCACTAGGCCATCGGCACTGATGAGACTCCCAAGATAAGTGAAGCGGTCTACACGCTCGACTACTTCACTCCCTATCACTAGTTCAGGTGCCGATGCAACCCAGTCTTGAAGCAAGATTTTGCATTTCGAGGGGGAAAACCGCATCCCGAACATGCTTGCATTGTTGCTTAGGGTGGTCAGAAGACTATGCATTTTGTCAGCGTCTTCACCAAGTAGGACAATGTCATCGGCATATTCTAGGTCAGTAAGCGACTTTCCTGGCAGAAGATCAACCCCTGAAAAATCTGACGAGCTTAATATTAACTCTAACAGGATGTCTATGACAAATTTAAACAAGAATGGAGAGAGTGGACATCTCTGACGGACACCACTTGAAGTAGAGAATTCAGATGACAGTTCGCCATGTGCTCTCACTCAACCAGTGGTGTTCGAATAAAGAGCTTGTATAAGGTTAATGTAATTATTTGGTACACCTTTCAATGACAAACACTGCCACAGAACCTCACGATCCACAGAGTCAAATGCCGCCTTTAGGTCCAGGAAAACAACTATTGTAGGACGCCTAAATGTGTGTCTGTGTTCCAGGACCTGTCGTAGTGTGAAGATGAGGTCTGTACAACCACGTCCTGGTCGAAAACCAGACTGGTTTTCTCGAGTCTGCTCTTCACGAGTTTTCGTTAAGCGTCGAAGTATTATTGAGGCCAGTATTTTAGATACTATATTAGTTAGACTTATTCCCCTGTGATTGTCACAAGAAGACTTCTGTCCTTTCTTATAGATTGGGACAATCAGTGATTGAGACCAGTCGGATGGGATTACGTCCAGTCCCCAGATTCTACCTAAGATCTCAGTCAATCTAGCTGCTAAAACTGGACCACCATCCTTAAACATCTCAGTGGTCAGTCTATCAGGACCTGCAGCTCGTCCTCGCTTCAGATTTCCTAACGCTTTTTCAACTTCATTAAGACTAGGGGGACTTACGTCGATTTGCCATTCAGGATGACTGGAGATCGTGGGTAACTGAAGAGTGGCTCGAGGCCAGTTGAACTGATCCCTAAAGTGTTCTGCCCATCGGTCCAGTATCCTGGATTGAGAATAAATAATAGTCCCGTCATTTTCTGAGATAGTCTCACTTATACTAGGATTCCTAATACCAGTTTCCTTGATAAGTCGGAAAAGTTGTCTACTGTTGCCTATCGCCTTTGCCTTTTCCATCGCTTTTGCTTTCGCCACCTACCACTGTTCACGGTCGTTGCGTAGGCTTTTTATCAGCCTGCACCTAAGCTGACTTCGTTCTTCATCATGTTCAGAGCCAGGTGGGATGAGTTTTCAGGCATACATCAGTTCGGTGGATGCTACTGAGATCCACGGCTTCTTTGTAGCCTTATGGTCAACGTTCCTAGCAGATATCACTGCTGTTTCAACAGCCTTTTTGATATCATTCCAACCTGCCTCCGGATGGGAATCACTTGCATGGTCGCCTAACTCTTTTTCTAGTTCCTCCTGAAATATATTTTTAGTTTTTTTTTTCATCAAGTAAAACCCTAAGAGGCTTCCTCACGTTGTCTTTCCTACGTCCAGTAAACCTCAAGTAGATATGCGCTTGCACTAGAGCATGATCTGAATCTAAACATGTGCCACAGAACGGGCGATAGTCCTCTATCGAACCCCTCCATCGGTGGCTGATGACAATGTGATCTAGTTGAGTCCAACGTTGAGACGACTTCGGGGGTCGCCAGGTCAACAGATGCTTTTCCTTATGCCTAACGTTAGTGTTTGCTAGAAATAGACGGTTATTTGAGCATACTTGCAACAGACGGTCACCATTTTCTGTTCTCTGAGCCGTGGCATCATAACATCCGCCAAGGTGTTTTTCACTTTCACCTAGTCTACCTACTTGAGCATTAAAGTCACCAGCCATTATTACTATATCAGAGCGCCTAGCTTTTTGGATGAGGTCCGAGAGCTTTCTGTAAAACTCATCTTTAACCTCGTCTGAACTGCATTCAGTGGGGGCATAGGCAGATATGACGAAGAGGCAACGGCGATTGTCCCTATCTTTCCGAGTCCTTACTGTCCCGTTCAGTCGCACAGCGCACAAGCGACTGTCTATCGGGGTCCAGTCTAGGAGAGCTAGTTCTGCCTGATGACTTAATACTATACCTACGCCAGCAGGACCCCGAGAAGCAGCATCAGGGCTACCGGATACACGAAGAGTAAATCGAGCTGCTTCTTTATTTTGACAAGGTGAAATCAGATTAATGAATTTGCTAGGATCCTGTATGCGCTTTTCCGAGACGCGGCATACATTGATGAGCCCTATCTACGTAAGCCTGTTGCCCTATTTAACATAATGTCCGTACATTAAAAGCTCCAACATGTAGTCTAGAACGGGGTTTCAGGAGACCGGAAATGACGTTTCGTGAACTCGCATTGTTTGCATTAGCTGTGCAGTGTGATAAAGGAATGTGAGAAGAGTTAGTCGTGGAGATAAGAGAGGTACTAGGGGGTGTAGGAAGGATTTGATTTTGACCAATTTTGTTTCGTGTACTGTTACGGGTATGAGGGCGGTTGTCACTTCCCGGCTGCCCACACCGTGGAAGGTTGTTTCTAGAGGAACCTGAAAATGGAGTTATATTAGCGTTCGTCTTAGCGACCTGGTTGCGTGACCGCAGAGCCGAAGGGACAACTGCTTTAGGCCGGTCGCTCACGGCATTTTTATGAGAAGTTTTTTGAGTATTAGCTCCGCTCTTGAAAGCCCTTAGTGGACATCCTTACCCAAGGAGACGGAAATCCGTGAGTTAGGGGATGTGTGACATTTTTACGGTCGACCTTTTCTAACCCTTCATTCCTTGTGAGAAGGCAGCATCGCTACAGATGCTGGTTGTCCGGGGGAAACAACTTACTGCTGTCACAGCCTTCTGCAGTCAGCAGTACGACTTCGCTCTCAGACCTTGAGTAACTGCTTTTAGTCGCACCTTTCTCCAAAGCTCGAATCTTACTTAGAAGTGGACGTCCATCGATATGTAATAAGTTTAAAAAAGGAAGTATGATTTGTAAAAACACTGATAACATCCTTATCGACGTTATGCGTTTTAGTAGTGACTAGACTTTAGTTTGGTTTGGGTGTCTGATCTAATGGTCGTAGGTTCGAACAAGCTCTACTGCAAGCGGGACCAAGCGTATATATGTGGACCGAAAAATATTTATTTTGGTTAGACAAACCTAATTTTTGAAGGTCAACCACTTGTTGGGGTTGATTACATAGCGCGTTACCTAGTAATTCATCTTGTTTATTTGGGAAGTGATGAGGACAGTTATATCGCAGATTCAGCACACAAAAATTTCGAATTCAAACGTGGGACATGTTTGTCTCGTTCAATCTGTATAATCTTTAATCTGCTTACATTGAAGTTGGGGTGTGTATTTTGTGTATCATTTGCATAAAATATACTTCATTAATTTAGAAAATTGGGTTTTGACACGTCATTTGTTGTTTATAGGTTTAGCTGGGATAATGAAATTGTGGATCATCCAGTTCTAGTTTGGGCGTCCATTGGACCACCCCTATGATGAGAAAGGCCAAATCTGGTGTTTGAGATTCTACTTTTGTTTGGTTGAACGTTTCTATTTTTGGCAGTGGTTTCGGAACCTGACACATTTGTTTAAGCTTATGTCACATATGATTCAAGCATTATAATTTTAAGTGTTTCGCAAAGCCCATAATTTAAGATTTCATGTTTGAGTATGTGCTTCAACTGAACTATTGAGAAATTTCAAGTCATAGAGCATAAGACCCATATCGAAATTCAGTGTATTGGTGATATGAAGTTTGAGGCGAATTAACGGTCTTCATTGATAAATTGGGTTGTCGGTTAGCAGGCAAGGCGTCAGTCGCACGATCGAGTCCCGTTGATTCATCAATAGGATTTATTGTACTTTCTAAACCGTTGTTATTGTCTATGATCTAACGTTTAGTGTCAAGCTTAGTATATTATTTTATTCTGTGGTTTTCTTTGCTAAGCATTTATTACAACCTCATCATGTAATATGTTTTCGTTTGTGATTTGAAATCTTATTGTTATAACTTGTAAATGTAGACTATTCAGAGTAGTTGGCAAGTACTCCTATTATGATATGTCCAATTCATTTTACTATATAATTTTTGCTGTTTTTGTCTTATTGAACTTATTAAAGAAACTAGATGATATGATATCATTAATAAGTTGCTTATGATTTTATAACCAATTTTTTAAAACTCTAATTAATCTTGATATTATGTTTGAACCAAATATTTATAAACTATCACAGTAGTTTTGTTTTATTTATTATTTACAATTTATTATTATTTTTTATTATTTAATGGTGTTGTAGTTTATCTACTGATTGAATGCAAAAATTATATTCATGTGTATTGTTTCTCTCTCTTTCCAGGTGCATTATGTCAATGATGCGGAAAGAGGTCATGTATGGGAACAAATTATGATTATGTTGCCTAAACATGTTTTGTTAGTTATGTTAAGTGCTACAGTTCCTAATAAACTTGATTTTGCTGATTGGTTAGGGCGTGTACGTGGAACTGAAGTTCATGTTGTTGCAACTAATAAACGTCCTGTTCCATTGGAACATTTTCTGTTTACTGGTATGGATGGTCAACGTAGTAAAGATCATCTTCATCTTATTGTAGATCAAGCTGGTCAATTCAATTTACCAGGTAAATCTATATTTTGAAGATATATATATATATATATATATATATATATATGATGAATGGTTGTCGTCTTCGTGTTCATATTGATATTCAGAACGGTTTCATATTCAGGCGAAAAGTTACCTCTTTTTTTATTGCTTCTTAACAGTGTACATGTACAACCCTGACCATTAATTGAACGCAAGATCTACTTACATTTGTAATCAATTCATTAATTCGTGTGTTTCTTGTCGTTTACCAGTGTTTATTATTATTGGTATTGTTTAAGTTATTATCACTTTAAGTTGTCCCGACCGTAGCTGCTACCTTGACGTGGTGGTCGGGCTTGCCTATCGTGATGACCCAACCGAGTTACACTGGCTGGAACATATGTTCCTCAAGGTTGTACCATGCCAGACAGGTCGATTGGAGAACGATGAGACTAAAAGCAGCTACCCAAGGTCTGAGGGCGAAGTCGTACTGCTGACTGCAGAGGGGTGTGACAGCAGTAAGGTGTTTCCCTCGAACAACCAGCATCTGCAGCGATGCTGCCTTCTCACAAGGAAGGAAGGGTTAGAAAAGGTCGGCCCTAAAAATGTCACACATCCCCTAACTCACGGATTTCCGTCTCCTTGAGCTAGGGGGCCCACTAAGGGCCTTTAAGAACGGAGCTAATCCTCAAAAAACATTTTATAAAAAGGCCGTGCGTGACCGGCCTCAAGCAGTTGTCCCTTGGACTCTGCGGTCACGCACCAACACTAATCTATCTTCCTTTTCAGGTTCGTCAAGAAACAACCTTCCACGGTGTGGGCAGCCGGGAAGTGATAACCGCCCTCATACCCGCAACAGCATACGAGACCAAATTGTTCAAAATCAAATCCTACCTACCTTCCCTAATACCTCTCTTATCTCCACAACTAACTCTTCTCACATTCATTTATTACAGTGCACAGCTAATGCAAACGATGCGAGTTTGCGAAACGTCGTTCCTGGTCTCCTTAAACCTCGCTCTAGACTACATGTTGGAGCATTTAATGTACGGACATTATGTTAAATAGGGCAACAGGCTTCCTTAGCTAGGACTTTAGAAACTCGTGCCATCGATTTATGCTACGTCTCGGAAACGCGCATACAGGATCCGAGTCACGTCATACACTTGGCCACACCATGTCAAAATAAAGAAGCAGCTCGATTTACCCTTCGTGTATCCGGTAGCCCTGATGCTGCTTCCAGGGGTCTTGCTGGCGTAGGCATAGCATTGAGTCGTAGGGCAGAACAATCTCTCCTTGACTGGATCCCAGTAGATAGTCGATTGTGCGCTGTCCGACTAAACGGGACAGTAAGGACTCGGAAAGATATTTTTTGAATAATATCTTCAAACCCTAGTCTTCTTTATTAACATTAATACCTCTACTATCTTTATCACTATGAGATTTGATTTGACATTTGCATCTCTGTGCTAATAATGTGGTATGGCAACATGAACTTATGTACATACGTACGAAGTTCTACGTTGCAACTGACTGACTGACTGACGGAAATATAGGGACAATCGCCGTTGCCTCTTCGTTATATCTGCCTATGCCCCCACTGAATGCAGTTCAGACGAGGTTAAGGATGAGTTTTACAGAAAGCTCTCGGACCTCATCCAAAAAGCTAGGCGCTCTGATATAGTAATAATGGCTGGTGACTTTAATGCTCAAGTAGGTAGACTAAGTGAGCAGGAGAGACACCTAGGTGGATGTTATGGTGTCGCGGCTCAGAGAACAGACAATGGTGACCGTCTGTTGCAAGCATGCTCAGACAACCGCCTATTCTTAGCAAACACTAACTTTAGGCATAAGGAAAAGCATCTGTTGACCTGGCAACCTCCAAAGTCGTCTCAACGTTGGACTCAACTAGATCACATTGTCATCAGCCACCGATGGAGGGGTTCGATAGAGGACTATCGCCCGTTCTGTGGCACATGTTTAGATTCAGATCATGCTCTAGTGCAAGCGCATATCTACTTGAGGTTTACTGGACGTAGGAAAGACAACGTGAGGAAGCCTCTTAGGGTTTTACTTAATGATAATAAGGCGGAAAATATATTTCAGGATAAACTAGAAAGACAGTTAGGCGACCATTTAAGCGATTCCCATCCGGAAGCAGGATGGAATGATATCAAGAAGGCTGTGGAAACAGCAGTGATATCTGCTAGGAACGTTGACCATAAGGCTACAAAGAAGCCGTGGATCTCAGTAGCATCCACCGAACTGATGTATGCCTGAAAACTCATCCCACCTGGCTCTGAACATGATGAAGAACGAAGTCAACTTAGGCGCAGACTTATAAAAAGCCTACGTGACGATCGCGAACAGTGGTGGGTGGCGAAAGCAAAAGCGATGGAAAAGGCAAAGGCGATAGGCAACAGTAGACAACTTTTCCGACTTATCAAGGAAACTGGTATTAGGAATCCTAGTATAAGTGAGACTATCTCAGAAAATGACGGGACTATTATTTATTCTCAATCCAGTAGACTGGATCGATGGGCAGAACACTTTAGGGATCAGTTCAACTGGCCACGAACCACTCTTCGGTTACCCACGATCTCCAGTCATCCTGAATGGCAAATCGACGTAAGTCCCCCTAGTCTTAATGAAGTTGAAAAAGCGTTAGGAAATCTGAAGCGAGGACGAGCTGCAGGTCCTGATAGACTGACCCCTGAGATGTTTAAGGATGGTGGTCCAGTTTTAACGGTTAGACTGACCGAGATCCTAGGTAGAATCTGGGAAATGGACGTAATCCCATCCGACTGGTCTCAATCACTGATTGTCCCAATCTATAAGAAAGGACAGAAGTCTTCTTGTGACAATCACAGGGGAATAAGTCTAACTAATAGAGTATCTAAAATATTGGCCTCAGTAATACTTCGACGCTTAACGAAAGCTCGTGAAGAGCAGACTCGAGAAAACCAGTCTGGTTTTCGACCAGGACGTGGCTGTATAGACCACGTCTTCATACTACGACAGGTCCTGGAACACAGACACACATTTAGTCGTCCTACAATAGTTGTTTTCCTGGACCTTAAGGCGGCATTTGACTCTGTGGATCGTGAGGTTCTGTGGCAGTGTCTGTCGTTGAAATGTGTACCAAATGAGTACATTAACCTCATACAAGCTCTCTACTCGAACACCACTGGTCGAGTGAGAGCTTATGGCGAACTGTCACCGGATTTCTCTACTTCAAGTGGTGTCCGTCAGGGATGTCCACTTTCTCCATTTTTGTTTAATTTTATCATAGACATGCTCCTAGAAATAACCTTATCCTCTTCTGAATTTTCTGGAGTAGACCTTTTACCAGGTGGCTCGCTTATTGACTTAGAATATGCCGATGACATAGTCCTACTTGGTGAAGACGCTGACAAAATATAGAGTCTTCTGACTACAATAAGCAACAATGCAAGCATGTTGGGGATGCGGTTTTCCCCCTCGAAATGCAAAATGTTGCCTCAAGACTGGGTTGAATCGGCACCTGAACTAGTGATAGGGAGTGAAGTAGTCGAGCGTGTAGACCGCTTCACTTATCTGGGAAGTCTCATGAGTGCTGATGGCCTGGTGACTGACAAAATCTCAGCTCGGATACAGAAGGCTCGATTGGCTTTTGCCAACCTGCGTCACTTATGGCGTAGGTGAGATATCCGTTTGCTGACTAAAGGACGAGTGTACTGCGCAATGGTTCGCTCCGTCTTACTTTATGGCTGTGAAACATGGCCAGTGAGAGTAGAAGATACTCGTCGGTTACTGGTTTTCGATCATAGGTGTCTTCGAAGCATTGCTCGTATATCGTGGGACGGCCGAGTGAGCAACGCTGTTATTAGGAAACGAGTACTAGGTAAGGATGGCAGATCAATAGATGAAGTGGTGAAACTTCATCAGTTAAGGTGGTTGGGACACGTGTTGCGTATGCCTAACCACCGATTGCCTCGTCGAGCTTTGTTTTGTAGTGTAGGAATAGGTTGGAAGAAAGCTAGGGGCGGCCAGACCAAAAGATGGCATAAATCCATGAAGTCATTGACGAGTGGACTGAGCCATGTCGGTAATTGTCGACTACCTGGCTGGGGTCCGCGAGACGAAAGTCATCAATGGTTAGAGACCTTGAATGACATGGCTCAAAATCGTTCGCAATGGCGCCGGTGCATTAATGCTTTGTGTTCTCTCAAATCCTAATCTTCTGGGTTCTTCAACACCTCTAGTTTTTACTTTCTAAACCTATCTCACTGAATCATACTTCTTGAGTAGTATCTTCTAATCCTAACCTCTCCGATTACCTCTTCTACTATTGGATTTGAATTGACAATAACATCTCTGTGCTGATGTGGTATGGCGACATGAACTGATGTACTTACGTACGAAGTTCTACGTTGCAACTGACTGACTGACTGACTTTAAGTTGTATCCTAATATTGAAGGAACAATAACTCCTCTTATTTACACTCAGTAACGCTCATATATCAGATTTTAATCCTATCATAATAACTGTGTAAGATGACTACTATCTAATGAGCACTGTTTGATCACTACGATCACCTTTCATTGAAACTGTAAAACCTGTTGTGGAAAATATCATTTTTCTTCTATTCTCGGTACACTATTGAGTTTCAATTGATTTATCGTTGTGTTGTTTCTTTTTCCAGTCTTTCCTATTTGCA